GGTTTCAATGGACGTCAAGGAACTCCTCCGGGCAGTGATGACACAGAGTGCCGCCTTGAAGAAGGAGCTGGGAGAGTTGAGACGGGAGGTCAAGTCGTCAAGAGAAAAGGTGAAGGGAGAGGCCAGTGGAGAAGGCCCAAGACCTCCTACCTCGACTCCACCACCGTCACCTCCAAAGGATCCACCCCCGTGCACCCCTGTGAAGGGAAGGATGGAGCCTTCGAATCAGGCATGGGCCGATGTGAAGATCCCGGACTTCCCCGTGGGCATCGAGGGCGACACTATGGGGAGAGGCGCGGTTCCACGAGGTTTGGGAGTACCTGACGTGCCCGGATCTTGGGGAGCTGGAGGGTGGGGCCTACAAGGTGGACTCCATCGAGGGCAAGAGCGAGAAGTCCCTGGGAATGGGGATGCAGGCCGAGACATGGTCAAAGGGTCTCCGCTGGAGCAGGCGGCCCAGACAGTGTTGAGGCAGTTGGGAACCACTTCATCAGAGGGCCAATGGGCGGAAGCCATCAGGTCAGTGGAACTGCCACCTCTTCAGGACCTCCACGAAGGAGATTTGGGGTCAATCATCCTTGGGGATTGGATCCAATTGGTGACTCCAACTATGAAGGATTTGAGTGCGACCAGCTGGAAGTGGTGGGAGGAGGTGTTGAGCTTCGCCATGATGGCCTATCGGGAGTGGCTGCAGGCTGAACCAGTTCAAAGGCTGTACATTCGGCCGAGGGTCCCAGTCGAATGCTCAGGGGTGTGGAGTCGGCTCGAGCAAAGGGGGCAATTGATGTTGCTCAATGCCGTACCGCAGAGCATCAAGGCAGAGATCCGGACTACCAGTTCAGTGGAGGTGCTGTATGCCCTGCTCAGACGCTACCAACCAGGAGGCTTGGCGGAGCGATCACGACTCCTTCGACAGCTAGTTGAACCAAAAGCCCCGCAAACGATGAATGAAGTGGTGGAAGCACTGAGGGGGTGGCGTCGAAGCTTGAGGCGAGCTCAGGAACTAGAGATTGCCACTCCAGATGCCACTTTACTGCTGGGCGCCTTGGATCGGATGTCAGAACTGGTGGGAAAAACGTCGAACCAAGTGGCATTCCGAATGTCCTCCACAAGAGCTACGTTGGGAGTGGACGTGACGCCGAGCCTGGAGACGGTCTTGAGCTTCTCGGATATGCTCACAGCGGAAGCAGAGTCCCTGGCCATCAGTGAACTGCAGCCCACAATGGAGGCCCGGACGGCTCCTATGCCCACAAAGGTGAAGGCCCTGGTGGCGCCGAATGACGAGAAGGGGGAAAAGGGCTCCGGCAAGGCCAAGGGCGAGGGCAAGCACGATGAGAAGATCTGCAGGTTCTGGGGCTCGGAGGACGGTTGCAGGAAGGGGCAAGACTGCCGTTTCAAGCACGATTGGGGCAGCCTGGAAAAGAAAGGCAGGTGCTTTGGGTGTTCATCAACGAAGCACACCAAGAAGGAGTGCCCGACAGTCAAGCCGAAGGCCGACTCTGAGAAACATGTGAAGACCTTCAAGAAGGAAGCTGAAAAGGGGGCAAGCGCCAAGAAGATGGAGCGAGAGATGGCAGAGGAGAACCCTCCAGCTGCAAGTGAGGATGTGGTGGACGAGAAGAAGGTCGAGAAGCCCGCTGCGAGCTCGGGGGAGGTTCAAGCTCTGCTTTCAGAGGCAACGACATTGCTGAAGAGCTTGAGGCCAGCCAACGAAGGAAGAACGGCTGTCAAGTCCATCAAGTTGAGCAGCTTGGAAGTCAGATCCAATGATCGAGCTCTCCTCGATGGTGGAGCAACCCATTGTCTCCGAAGAGCAGAGTCCGAGGAGGAATGGAATCGAGCTCAAGAAGTTAGGGTAGAACTAGCAGAGGGCTCAGTGATGCTCAGGCAGATTCCATGGACGAAGACCCTTTTGACCCAGAACGAGGTCCAGACGATCGTCCCACTTGGGGTGCTGATCTCACTGGGCTATGAAGCCTATTGGGAGAAGGACAGGTTCACCCTCACGGACCCGAGTGGAGCACTGCTGGACGTGATGGTGGAAGGGATGTGCCCAACAGTGGATGAAGGCTTGGGACGGGAGCTCATCAAGGAGATCGAACGAAGTATGGTCAGAGAAAGAGCCCGCTTGGCAGTTCTGAAAGGAGAGGGTGGTCGAGGCGAGCTGGAGGTCGAAGAGGCTCACCATCTACGAGAGCTGCGAGAGCTATTTCCTGAAGTCCCTCTTCAAATCCTCGTGAGGATCTTGCCTAAGGTTGGATGGACGGGGGAGTCTCTCCCATGGAACAGGCATGAGAGAAGGAGGGTAAGGAAGGCAAAAGAAGTGGTCGTGCACCTCTTCAGCGGGGACACCAAGAAGTTCTGGCAACGAGAGCTCGAGTCTGAAGGCAGAGCAGTACTCTGTGTCGACACGGTGATCGACCGAGGGATGAACATCCTCAGGGACGACGTCTTTGCCTACCTGCTGGAGATCGCTGATGGCGGCACACTACGAGCCTTACTCGGAGGCCCACCGTGCAGGACGATGAGCCGGTTGAGGTATCGACAACCCGGACCTCCACCACTTCGAGAGAGGGAGGGACCCGGGAGGTTTGGCCTGCCGAATCTGGACCCGGTGCTGAAGCAGCAGGTGGAGGACGACACTTTGTTGTGGTTGAGACAGATCTATCTCCACCATCGAGCCTCGAAGGCGGCTTCGCCTCAAAAGGTGGTCACGGCATTGGAGCAGCCTGATGATCCAGAAGCCTACCTGGGGGAGTCCAAGAAGGAGATCGGACGATGCAGGCATCAGACCACAGAAGGAGAGACAGAGGAGGGGGACAGACACCCTCGCTACCCAACGTACTGGTCGTGGCCGGAGTGGCAGAAGGTCAAGATGATGTGGGACCTCTTCGAGGTAAGATTCGACCAGGGACCGATGGGGCACCCCCGCCGTAAACCGACGCGGCTGGGCACGAACATGCCAAGGCTCAGGGAGCTTGAAGGGCTTCGAGGACAAGGGCAAGGTGGAGAAGACCATCGAGGAGACTCCATCCAGGAGAGGATTGCGAGATCGAAGTCATGGGCAGCATGGGCTCCTGGACTGAAGGCAGCGTTGGTGGTGGCTGTCAGAGAGTCGCTGGAGAAGGGTGACCCTCAGCTGAGGAGGATGGACCTTAATGCCTGGCAGAAACACCTTCTCAACGGGCATTTGCCCTATAGTCGAGAATGCAGGGCATGTGTCGTTGCTGCCTCGAAGAGCAAGGCCCACAGACGTGTCCCACACCCGGACGCCTACACTCTTTCGATCGATACTGCAGGACCATTCGAAGCTGCAGAAGATCAACTAGGGAAGGGGCGCTATCTGCTTGTGGGCGTCTATCTCGCTCCGGTGACCAAGGATGGACAGTCGCTCATCCCGATCAATGAGGAGGAGGAACTTTCGGGAGCCCTCGGGGATGGACCGGAGCTGACGGTGGTCGAGACTGAAGAGGAAGCGGGTGTGCGAGAAGAGTGGCCAGGCTTGGATGATGAGAAGGCTTGGCTGGAGAAGGTAGAAGCAGAGAGGGACTTCCAAGTCAAGCAGATCCTGGTCGTTGAAGTGCTGGAGAACCGAGGAGGACCAGCAGTGGTTGAGGCGATCGGGAGGATGGCGGCCAAGCTTGACTTTTTGGGGCTCCCGGTCAAGCGACTACACTCGGATCGCGCGGGAGAGTATCAGTCCCGAGCATTCCACAAGTGGTGCCATGACAGGGGCATCATGAGAACCTTCAACGATGGCGACAACTTCAAAGGAAATGGCCGCGCAGAGAATGCGATTGCCCAGGTGAAACGTGGGGCACGAACCCTCCTCATCGCGGCCGGCTTGGACGAGAGCTTCTGGTGTCATGCGGCCAGGCATTGGGCAGAGGGTCGCTTGAGACGCCAGCTGGAATCGATGGGGTGGAAGAAGCGGGACTTGGCACCATTCGGTCAGGTGGTTTGGGCGAAAAGAAAGTACTACAGCGACAGGCAGAAGTACCTCTCGACGACCCGCACCCAGGTCCGGGTGTTGTGCCCAGCAGTGACGATGTCGATGACGACTCGGGGTACTTTGTCCAGGAGATTGAGTCCGGCAAGCTGTTCCACACCGGAGACATCATCCAGGTTGGGGAGACCCCAGCGGAGTTGGAGGTTCCGGAAAGGGAGGCCGGCTTCATCCACGAGGTTGACGACCGAGAGGAAGTGGATCAACCTCGGAAGAGGCCCGGGAGAGTGAGGAAGTGCATGAGGCACCTTCAGGGTCCGGCGGAGGAAATCCAGGCCGTAGACTGGGGGGAGTTGCACCACCGAGGAGCCAGACATCTAGCCCGGGAGTTGACGCTCCTCGAAGAGGACGAAGGGGAGATTGTCAACGAGAAGTTCATCAAGATGTTGACGGCAGAGGTGGAAGAGATCGCAGAGGAGGCGATGATCCAGGGGCGACAGGACGAGACGGCCCGACTGGCAGCAGCCGAACAGGCCAGAGAAGGTGAGCAAGAGTTCCTCCAGACGAGGATGGTCGGACTAGCTGAAGTCAGAAAGAACCTGGAGGAGTGGCGACCTTCGATGGTGGAGGAGTATACCGCTCTGATCACTGAATCTGAAGCTGTGGTGCCAATCGACCGAGAACAGACTGACCAGCTGAAGGCAGAGGCGGAGGCTCTGGGGAAGGATTTTGACCTCGTCCCGGCGAAGGCCATCTTCAGCCGAAAGGCAGGGTCCGGACGGCACAAGTGTCGTGGCGTGGCTTGCGGGAACTTCATGAACGCCAAGAGCACGGAGTCGACCTTTGCATCTGGGGCCAGTGGGATTGAGGTGAGGATGATGATCAAGCTGGCAGCAGTCAACCAGTGGTCCCTGGCGACGCTAGACGTCAAGACTGCTTTCCTCAACGCCCCTGCAGCCCATGAACGAGGCACAATCATCGTGCAACCACCAAAGATCTTCCAGGAGGCCGAGGTGTTGGCGAATCCCAAGGAGTTGTGGTGGGTGAAGAAAGCACTCTACGGGTTAGTGACGTCTCCCCGGGATTGGTGTGATCATCGGGACGGGAAGATCAAGAACTTCCGATGGAGTCGACAAGGAAGACCAGTCCGAGTGCAGGCCACCCCCCAGACGGACATCTGGTTGATCCAGGAGGAAGATGAGAAGTCTGAATGGAGGACGAAGGGGGCGTTGGCAACGTACGTGGACGACGTTCTCATGGTGGGCGAAGGGGACATCATCACTGGGTTCATCGAACAGGTGAAAACCCACTGGAAGATTGGAGAGCCAGAATGGGTGGTGGAAGGACGAGAGCCCGTGAGGTTCCTGGGAATGGAGGTGGAGAAGCGTGGGGTCGACTATGTCATCCACCAGCAGGCCTACATCACCAACTTGCTGAGCGAGTACGAGGAGACTGGAAGAGGCGCTTTAGGCCAAGTCCGAACTCCCGAGGAGGAGGAAGACCCAACGGCGGACCAAGTCCTCCAGGCGCAGAAGGAGACGGGTGAGCTGTTGTGGGTGGCCGGAAGATCACGACCCGACCTGTCGCTGGGTGTTGGCATTATGTCTCAATGGGCGTCGAAGAGACCGGCGCAGGTGATCAAGATTGGGAAACAGATTTGGACCCACCTCAAGGAGACACTGGAGGAGGTCTTGGTCTTTTCTGCAGATGACGGTGGCGCCCGGGAGAATGCCAACAACGATGAGAAGGCCTCGATCAGGACGGTTGACATCTACACGGATGCCTCCTATGGGTCGTCAGAGCTGAAGAGCATCTCCGGAGTAGTCGTCTTTGTCGGAGGAACCCCGATGGGATGGCAGACGACACGACAGCCATTCATAACCCTCTCAACTGCGGAGGCCGAGCTGATGGCAATGTTGGAAGGACTCATCGCGGGGAGATCCACGGCAGCCTTGATGGAAGCAGTTTTGAGGGAGAAGGCGGAGGTGAGGCTTCACTCGGACTCGACAGCCGCCATCGCCATCGCAACGGGGACGACATCTTCATGGAGGACGAGACACCTACGGATCAGGGCAGCTGGACTCACCGAGGCGATCAGGGAGAAGGAGATCACCTTGGATCATGTGTCCGGGAAGGTCCTAGTTGCCGATGGCTTCACCAAGCAACTCACCGGACCCGCATTGGGAAGGTTCAAGGAAGCCCTGGGGCTGAAGGGGGCAGAGAAGAGGCCGATTGAGGTCAAGAAGATTGAGGTCCACAAGGGAGTTGAACCCGGCTTCACCAGGGGCATTGGACTGCTGGTTGCTGCAGCGAGCCTGTTGGGAAAGGTGGAAGCGGCGACTGAAGAGCAGAAGGAAACCACAGGAGAGTGGTGGATCATTGTGTTGATCACGGCAGCCATAGCTATTTTGGTGGACATCGCCTTCCGAGTGGGAACCTCTGGCATCCAACGGTGGTTCAAGCCGAAGGAGGAAGTCAAAGTCAAGCTGCTCAACCCTGAGGCGAGACTGCCTACGAGAGGGTCCGATCATGCCGCGGGACTGGACCTGTACTCCGTCATCGAGACGCTGGTACCTCCGGGTGAGAGCGTGCTGATCAAAACGGGACTGGCGGTTGAACTACCCGCCGGAACATACGGCAGAATCGCACCGAGATCCTCATTGGCCATCAGAGGGATAGAAACGGGAGCTGGAGTTGTTGACCGAGACTTCAGAGGGGAAGTGAAGGTACTGCTCCGGAACTGGTCGGATGATGACCTACGAATCTACAAGGGGGATCGTGTGGCCCAATTGGTTGTGGAGCGCATCCTGGAGGTGGGAGTGAGCCATGTGGAGGATCTGAGCGAGACCCAGAGAGGCAACAGAGGATTTGGGTACTCTGCTCATGAAGAAGCATACCCCTGGGCTGAACCAGACGATCCGCTCTACCAGAGGCAGGAGCTCGGGACAAGCACTCCAGTTGGCCGTATTTCCATGAGAACAATGAGGGTGCATTCGAGTCCCAACAGCGCAACCATGGCGGCTTCTGGGCAGACATCGGCCACGGCCAGAGATGGACCATTTCCTGACCGACCTGAACCAGCAGGACACCATGGAGGAGCCGATCAGGGACTATTGCATCAGAGCACCCAGACAGAGGAAGTGCAAGGTGAGAGATTGAGTGGTGACCATCAAGGAGGCCCTGATGTGCTTCGAGTACACGATTCGGAACTCCGGCATCGAGGAAGCTACGACCCCGAGAATGAGAGGAGGCGGCGGGCAGAGTTGGGGCTGCCGATGAGCGCGTGGGATCGCTACATGATCCGTCGAGGACCACGACGTGACCACGGAGGAACATGGGTGATGCTCGATAGCGAGGGAGTTCACTTCGTGGCGCGAGATCCAGGTGACGGACGAGGACCGAACGAATGGGCCGAGATGATGGCACAGGGAAGTGAAGAAGGTCGGGCACAGCCTCAAGGAGGAGAAGGTCCACGGGATGGAGGTCATCAGCCGAGTCTCCCAAGAGTGGAACCTTTAAGGTTGATCACCACGGTCGAGCCGGGCATTGTGCTGGGAAAGTGGTGCCACGAGGAGGAAATGGCGGACTACTTGAGGACGCCGGGGTTCCAGAGAGGCTTCATCAATGAAGCGGTGCAAAGGGTTCTCTCGATTCCACCACGGAGAACCTCGGCCAAGGACTCATGGGACTACCTGATTGACTTCGAGGGGGGCAAGAAGGTGGGGATCAGAGTCCACTACCAGGACAGGAAGAAGCTGTATGACTTCGAGGGTGAGACGCTTCTCGAAGAGAGGTGGGGAAAGTGGAGGATGACGGTGGCATGGCACATCGCGTCCAAGAGGAAAACGATCCTCGTGGATGAGAGGAACGGCAAGCGAGGGTGCCTGCTGGAGCTGTGGTGGGGCTATACCGTCTTCAAGACGACGTGAAGGGGCTTGAGCCTCCCCGAAAAGGGGATTTTGAACCAGAGAGCACCTCAGTTCGCTTAGCAGCGAAGGGGGAGCGCAGGTGCACAAATAAAGAAGTGTACCAAGTTTTCATGAGAGTCCAAGGTGCGAGAACACGCACTTAAATCAAGAAGTGTACCAAAGAAGGGTAAACATGAAGCCCTTTGTTGTTCAAGCGGCAAAAGGGTGGCCGCTACTGCTGCAGAAACATCACCAAGTCTAAGACCACTCCTCCCCCCACCATAGTGTTTCATCCTATTTTTGCTCAAACATTTCCGTTCGCTTCGGTTTTGTTTTTATATGTTCAGTGATGTTGTCAATGAATGGGTTTAAGGGAGAATCTGCAGGAAACCCTTGCTTTCACCACCAGAACTATGGGTGTTTTCTGTAGGTTTTCCCTTCAACAATTCTGGGATCAAGGTTCTTTCCCTGTCAGGAACTTGTGTGATCCGCGGCTGTGTGCCGAAGAAGTCGTCGGCTCAGTGGGGAGGTTTCGGCCCAACAGGGTGTGACTCAGTCGGACATATCACGATTTTGAGAGGGCAAGTGAACCATGATCATCCACTGGGCCCAGAACTATGGGATATACCAAAATTGGGCCGGTCCCACCAATTTGGGTCTTGGAACCTCAGGGAGATTTGGAGCCTACCGTGGATTGGTGACTCCGTGGATCAGCCGGGGCGTGGATGGCATGGCCCCAGGACTTACTTACTTGGTGCCAAAGACCAAACCGGGAGCGAACTCCACATCCGTGATGATTTCAGGGAGTGTCACTGAGGTTATTGATCTATGGAAGCCACCTCTTGGAGGACTGCGTGTGCTTTGCGACGTCTGCTTTTCAATGGGTCGTATTAAGCTGGCACCGGTGGCCCCCGGGTGCCTGAAGTCGATCCTGGTTGCCGGTCTAGCACTAGGGTGGCCCAGTGGCCTGCTAGAGCCCAGGATCTCAAGGATGGCGAGGGGTATGGATGGTCTTTGCCGGACGGCGTGGGTGCCCATTTTGGGCGGATTCAGGGCACAGCCGCGAAAGAATCAAGCGTCATAAATCATAAAGCTATCTCTTTCAGAGAACTTGCTGTAGATGGCCAAGGTTGTTCAAGTATCATTTGCTTCCCCATCGTGATCATTGTGTCGGCACACAAACACCACGCCCGTGAGGCACGCCCGTGCCTGTCTAGAGGCAGTATCCAGATGCAGTCTGGATGCATCCAGATATGCTCAGATGTCGCACGTCAGATGTCTTCGAATGACTCGAGGCGTGACCCCGAGCCTTGATTGGGAGAAACTCATCGAAGCAAAGAACGAGGAGGCGAAGACACCCCAGCGTCATGCGGTCATGCGGTCACGAAGCGCGTCACGCGAGCTTCGCGGGACGACACATGAACAGGCAGTTCAGGCAGTTCAAGCAGTTCTGTAGTTCACAAATGATTCATCCACGCTCTAGCTCGAGTGTGCTCGAGTACAATTAGACTTGTAGTGACACTGCGATTGTTGGGTGATTGGTCACAGTTCTCCATAGTCCTCCGAAATTCTCCAAGAAGTTGTGCCAGGTGACACGTCGGAAGCTTAGTTCAGATCCAAAAGTGTTCAGACCTCCCATGAGACCTCCCATGGAGTGCTATACTCTTGGTGGGCGAGCCGTGTGCATGACTCTAAACGGGTCTGTAGGCTTGGGTCGGCGGTCGGAACGGCCTGTTCCGACCAAAGTTGGTGGACGTTTCTGGGTGGCGGTGGTTGACACTTGAGGTGGTCATGGAAGTGGAAGGTGGATGAACATACATGTCCTCAGCCACTGAAACGCCGATTCCGAGCGAAATGCTTCGTGGGGAGAGCAGTGACTGGGTCGGAGAACGTGAGGTCTGAATGGCATCTACAAGAAGCTGCTGGTGCGCCTTTCCTGCTTCGATCTCTTTGTGGTCTTTTTGTCTTGTCTCCGGAGTCAACTAAGACATCTCAAGCTCAAGACCACTCAAATGCCATGGTGGGGGTGAAGACATATTTGCTTGTTTGGCTGTGCTGGGCCCGAAATTGCTTTGTAGGCTCAATTTGGTCATGGGCAGCCTGTGCAGCCTTAGAGATTTGTGTTTGGAAGTTCAAGCATCACTCCCAAAACCTGCTGAGTGAATGCAAGGGAGAAGGAGCACCAGGCCACTAAGGTCTTTCCTTAGACTTAGACTCATGTCGACTCCATTTTCCCAAGACCAAGGGAGATCCAAGGGACCAAGGGACCTGAGATTTTGCCTTGACCAATCCAGTGGGATGAGCCATTTGCCTTGACCAATCCGGTAGGACCAGCCTGGGCCTAAACCAATCACGACCCATGGCACCGCCACACATCATGGCACTTCATGGCGCCTCGACCTTTGCCGCCACCAGCGCTTCGCAAGCGGCGAGGCTGGCGCAGGGGTGGAGCATTTCGAAGGCTACGCGCGCATCATCGACCCCCACACAGTGGAGGCGACGTCGACGCGGTTCGGGGTAGGAACGCTGCAGATTTGCTGGGGGGACGACTGGTTTGCTTCTCCAGGAAAAGCAGCCAGGGCCATCCAGGGCTATAGGGGTCAAGTCTCAATCCAATCAACGAGAGTGTTTTGTGAACTCTCTGGCCTGCCAAATGGGTTGCCGGTCACCGGAAAAGCACACTATAGCTTCCTGCCTGGTCCAGGCAATCCCTGTCCTTTGGTCCTGAAGCCAACGGCGTTTTCTTCTCGTTCGGGGGTTGGAGTGGACCACGTGAGAGGTGCTTGGCCGAGCGGCGTCGTTGGAGAACCACCCGGTTCGCCGGTTCGGGTCCGCTTGGGGCGACCGAACTCGCTCCACGCCGGTGCAACGGAGGTGAACGGTCAGCGGCATACGGCCAAGTACATCTGTGTCGCCACGGGTGGTCGGGCACAGAGGTTGCCCGGGAGCCCGGAGGAAGCAGGGCGCGGAGCTTGGAGACCCAAGGCTTGGGGACTCGTGATGCCGGGTCGCCACATCCTTGAAAGGCAGAGGAAAGATGTTGCAAGTCGAGATGTATGGAGAAGTGAGAAGTGATATGGCATGATTGGGGTTTTCGGGTGTTCTCAGTCTGCCTGTTCAAATAAGGACATGCTCATACATGCTCCATACTGGTGCCTAAGCCCAACGGTGTCTCTTGGTGTCTCCTCACTCCCCACCTCATCGGCCTGGGCCGCCGATGGCAGGCCAATCCCCGGATGCGACTTAGATGGCGCCTGGCAGCCGAGACAAGCGCCCAGATCAGCGGAACGTCGCAGATGTGAAATGATCTGAGAGTTTCGGGAGAACGGTGCCTTTTGAAGGATGTTTGAGGATATTGTTGAAGGGTCTGGCAATGTATTCTGCTGGCATCTGAACCATTTCTGTGCACGTCTTCGGGTCCAAGAAACCCCTACGTCGTACCCGCAACCAGCGGGGAAGACTGCAACCAGCCCTCCAACTTCGGCATTACCGCCATGCGTCTTGCTGCGTCTTGCTCTCTGCAATGTCACCCCGCTGGCCGGCATGAGACCCCGCGGCGTCTCCAGGTTTTGACCAGCGATGAAGCCCTGGCGCTTCCCAAGAGGCGGTCCGCCGCGGATTTGCGCGGGATGCTTCACGGTGGAAGCATCGTGACTGGTGCAACTGGGAGCTACCTCAATCAAAGCCATCAGAGATGATGATGTTACATGCCGAAGGTTGTTGTCCAAAAAGCACAACGTACCAGCATCTCATACAAATAATATATAGTAAATACGTATAATATCATATAATCATTAAGTTACTTATGCGAGTGGAGATCAGGGAGGTATAGACCCAAAGACTTTTGGGCTCTTTTCACCGCCTCCTCTGGCGGTGCGGCCTTGGTGCGGTCAGCTGGAGGGCGAAGTGCCCGCTGTGCGGCAGCCTTCGAAGAATTAGGATCAACTGGACCAAGATGTTCAGATGCCTTAGATGCATGGCTGGAAGCCATTTTTAATGGAAAATCCAAAGATCCTAAAGGCGCTGCCCCCAAAAGTACCCCAAAAGTATCAACACACACAAAAAGTCAAGCACCTTTGCAGCTCAAACGAGACACAACATACACACAAGGCGTTTGCAGGGCTAAAAACCACTCACCCGCTTTGAACACCGGACGCAGTTGGACCACTTTGGAGGCCAGAGAAGTTGGTGGTCATTGGTGGTGGCTACATCGCCGGGAACGTCCAGATGACGTCCTGAGCAGGGGTTGGATCGATGGTTCGGGGATCATGGGGTCGAAGTTGGAGGTGGAAGAGGTGAGACTATATACTGTATAAGACTGTAGACTCGAGATCACTTCTTACAGACTCATACAGTGACGAGAATACCACTCTTAGTGGAAATACAAGAAGATGGGGGGCACCGTAGATATCCTTATATACATATATATGTAATCCAGGAATACCCGTGAGTTGCTGGATATTGCTGGATTATTTGCATCGGTTTTACTATTTGGGATTAACTATTTGCTGAGGTATGCAATGGAGCTTAGACCTGGTATATAAGTTCTTTAAAACCCTTCGTCCAAACCAAGACTTCGTCCAATCAATCACGCCGAGGCGGTCGAGTTCGCTGGCTTCTTCCATGGTGGGGTCCTGGTTGGGGCGATCGAAGCCAGTCACAGACAGGTCCGAAACCAGGGGTTTCTTGTCTTGAGAGTGACCATGAGTGGAGTTTGTAAGATATATGTCGTCGTCATCATCATCATCATCATCATCATCATCCTGGAGTCGAAAGCTGGTTTTGAGGAGTTACTTATTTGATTTGGACATTGTGTATTCTATCTACTCCAGGAGGACTACTATGTATATATTTATAATGAATGCCGCGGGGGTTCTCGTGGGGTTCTCGTGCGTAGTTATGGATATAGTAGCCCTGTGAATGCCCAATGATTCAAGACCTCTCTAAATTGCTACAAACATGCCGTACAAATTGCAAACTAAACGCCAATGAGACCGGGCTTGCATGTTTTTGGTGGTACTGGATGTTGCACAACAGAAGTGCCGGCAGACCTTGGATTGCACAGTTTTGTATGGAGTAGCTCGGTCAGAGCCTTTGGTCCACCATCTACCGGTCTTCGTTTCACCGAGCCACGGCCTGCTGTTGATCGTTGATCCACCTGGAACCCCAAGCAACCAGAAACAAATGGAACCCAATATGGCGCCAGCTTGAGGTCCCTTGCAGAACAAGTGGTTGGGACTGGGGAAACATCCATTTGTTGACTGGATTTCCAGCCGCAGGTTATGGGACGGAAGTGCACCTGGTCTTCCGGCAGGAGCTGTGGTTTCCAGGGGTCGTGGCCCGATGGTGCCCGCCTTTCCGGCATTTGAAACGGTGAAACGGCGATACCCGGAGGACATGCTTTCAGATTTCGGTGGTAGAACGTTCTTTCCAAAAAGGGTGTTGGTTGTAGAACACCTCGTGTGGATATGTTTCTATTCTCATGTCTGACCTGAAGCTGCTGGAGAGGTTTCCCATTTTGCCAAGTTGCTTTTGGGGAGAACATCTCTCGACTCTTCCTGGACTCAGTGGGCTTCGTGAGGCCTGCTTGGAGGCTACGTTGAAGAGACCTTCAAACGACAATGGGCAAAGACACTTCACTGGTTGCCACGTCAATCTGCGTATTAGTAGTCGTATTAGTATATATATATATATTACAATCATTACAATATACATTATTACAATTACACCGATTGAGGTATTTGTAATAATATTATATGCATCAATTTCACATTAATCATACTTGCCAATCATTGGCCTTCCGGACTCTGGTTCCTTCTGGGACCGCGGGCCGGCCAGGTGGAAGCGCCCCGAGCATCCGGATGATTTGGGTTGGTTCAGATAGATTTTGGGACTGAACATGGCTTTGCTGGCTCATCAATGGCATTCCCATGAGGTTCATCATTGAAAACCATGAAATAAATCGTTGATGAGCATTGATGAACATGGCTTTGCTATGCTTTGCTGGGTTTTCCCTATGGTTCATCAATGCCTGATTTGATCCAGCAGGCAGTCCCAGCCCCCCCCGCTGGGTTCACACCGTCAGGATCAGCCCCTTCGTGGCTTTGATGAGGAGGGGCGGTTGAAAGACCTGAAAGACCTTGGCGCGGACATGGTCTTGGAAGGCTTTTGGCGAATGGACCTTTTTGTTTTTGGTAAAAAATCGAAGCAGGTCTGATATGTCTGTGACAGGTCTGATAGGTCTGTGTTCCACGATGTTCCATGTTCCTTTTTTCCTGACAGGAGGTCTGTGGGACACGTCTGTCCTCACATGTCCTTGTTTGTTCACGTGAGCGTGATTGGTCAATGAAAGGAGCTCAAGGCGTCCGCCCGCCTGATGATGGTGGCTCGAATCAGTGCCTATAGCGACTTTACGCAATCTTACTCGACTAGCGCATCTCAGCTTTGAGTGTGACACCCCTCACTCATGGCGCAGGCAGAGCAAATGCAGATCATTGTCGCCAGCTCGTGCTATTGCTTTGCATCGGTGGGCATGTTGCTGTTCAACAAGTTTGCAGTCCAAGACTTTCCCTTGGAGTGCTGCTTGGTGTGGGCACAGCTCTTTTTCGCAGCGTCTTGCTTGACCCTCTTCGCGTTCCCCTACATCCACGTCGGGTCAATGCATGATTTGCTTCGTTGGTGCATGGTGGTACCATTCTATTGCGGCATGCTTCTGACTTCCATTCTGGCTCTCAAAACGGCCCCAATGTCCCTGATCATTGTGCTTCGCAACACGTCCCCGTTGGGGACATTAGTGATCGAGCGCTTCTACCCGGAACCCTTGAGGATCAGTGGCTTCATGTTGGGTTCCATTGGCTTGATGATTGCTGGCGGCTTGATGTATGTGTCTCAGCTTCCGAAGGAGAATTGGCAGGGAATTGGTTGGGTATTTCTGAACAGTGCCATTGCTGTGGTCGACCGCTTGCTCCAAAGGCTGCTACTGTCAAAAGAGCAGTGCCCTGTGGACATTTCGAAAGCTGGCATTACCTTGATCAACAACTTGGTTGGCTTGCTTCCTGTGGGTATTGCTGCCTATGCCAAAGGAGAAATTGACCAATTGCCGGTGGTGTATGGAATGCTGAACCACTGGGACAAGTTCTACATTGGCATGACTTGCATTATCGGGCTCACCATCAGCTACACCAGCATTTGGGCTCAGAGCCTCATCAGTGCAACAAGCTTCTTGGTGATGATCAATGCCAACAAGTTTGTCATCATCGGCATTGAGGCCTTCGGCATGCACTCGAAGAAGTTGACGTCGCTGCAAATCTTTGGTGCTAGCCTCACCATCTTGGGTGGCGTTCTCTATGGCAAATCACGTCAAGCAATTGAACAGGAAGTGCAAGAGAGGAAGACGTTGCTCCCATCAAAGTAGTCTTTGCACATCCTTGCGCAAAACGCGCTGAGAGATGGCTGAATGAAAAAAACAGGGACAGGCTGCCGATGGTTTTGGACTACGTCAATCAGTGGGGATTTGATAGCGCGTTGAGAATAGACTGAAACACATTGGAAAGCTGAGGTTCATCATGACATTATGGGGAGTTGTGTGATATGCGTACGGTATGCGTACATTCCTTTGAATTGGTATTTGTCTTGAATCGTTTGTGGCACTGAAGAGAACTTATATTACCAGGCATCTAGAGTTGTCATCGGATATTCTTGCTGGCTGATGCATCCATGAGTGCTGCTTGTTTGCGTGGCTCAAACGCTTAGCAAACGACCTACGCGAATCCCCTTATTGAACTAGCAAAGTCCGTAACTCCCAATGACGTCCCAGACTGAGCACATGCAGATCATCCTTGCCACTTCATCCTACTGTTTCGCTTCAGTTGGGATGCTGCTGTTCAACAAGCTGGCCATTCAGGACTTCCCATTGGAGTGCTGTTTGGTGTGGGTTCAGCTCTTCTTCTCCGCCTTCTGCTTGGGCGTCTTTGGCTTTCCATACATCCATGTTGGCTCGGTGCGCGACTTGCTTCGTTGGTGTATGGTGGTGCCCTTCTACTGCGGCATGCTCCTCACATCCATTCTGGCTCTCAAAACGGCCCCAATGACGCTGGTGATTGTGTTGCGCAACACGTCTCCCTTGATGACCCTGGTCTTTGAGCGGTTTTACCCAGAACCCTTGCAGATCAGCAAGTACATGCTTGGGTCCATTTGTTTGATGATTGTGGGTGCTATGATGTATGTGTGGCAGCTGCCTCTCGACAGTTGGCAAGGCATTGGCTGGGTGCTGTTGAACAGTGCCATTGCAGTGGTGGATCGTTTGCTGCAACGCTTGTTGCTGTCAAAGGAACAATGTCCCGTGGATATTTCGAAGGCTGGCATCACCTTGATCAACAACTTGGTTGGTTTGCTTCCGGTCGGCTTGGCCATTTATGCCAGTGGAGAAGTCTCTGCATTGCCACTCGCCCTTTCAAAGTTGACGCGCTGGGACCAGTTTTTCATCGGCATGAGCTGTGTGATTGGTTTGGCCATCAGCTACACCAGCATTTGGGCTCAGAGCCTCATCAGTGCAACAAGCTTCTTGGTGATGACCAATGCCAACAAGTTTGTAATCATCGGCATTGAGGCCTTCGGCATGCACTCCAAGATGCTGACTCCGCTGCAGATCTTAGGTGCCAGTCTCACCATCTTGGGTGGAGTGTTCTATGGCAAATCACGTCAGGCCATTGAGCAGGAAGCAGAAGAACGGAAGCAGCTGCTTCCTTCAAAGCTCCCTGCCAAGTAGCCAAAGACATGCCTAGTAGCCATCCTTGAAATACTGATGCGTGCTGGAGGAAGATGAGAGGAGAGTCTCATTCACCCTCGCCCGCGCCTCATTCCGTTGAACGACACACCCGGACGGCATGACCTTTGCGGCCGCACGAGGACTGGACGCTCGGACTTACACTCCCCAGGACGTGCGCTCGCACCTCTTGGAGCTCACCAAGGCCAGGGGCATCCACGTTCATTCAGGCGAGGGGACCGCACCAAAGAGGTGCCGTGGGTGTGCCAGATAGATTGTTTGTTTGTTTTTTTTTTATTTTTTTCACTTAAGAATGCTATAGTTGACAGGGCTTTTTGCGCCCTTTTCAGTATGCTTGTGATCCAATCATGAGGTAAAGAATGGACACGGTAGATTATTATAGGTATTTATATATATATATATATACGTTTTTCCTTTTGGTTTTTGATGTGCCAAGATCAGATTGATTGATCCTCTCCGCCGAATTTGGCAGGTGAGAGCCCGCTCTCGATCGAGGCGCGACAGTTTCGTGCATCCACCGGGTTCGGCGCTGCGACTGGCGACTTCGAGGTGCTTGGCGTGTGTGTGCTTTACAGTGGTTATGCAGCTATACCCCTATAGGCAGTAGATAGGTACTTCTGGTGCATAGGAAGGAAGCACATGACCTCAGTGGTTTTTTCAGTGGGTTGCTGGGAACTTCCCCTGCAAAATGATTAGATGTCCCACTATAAGAAACATCTCCCTAGGAGCTTTTGTCCATATTATCTTGAGACACAACTAGGACCGCTGACTTGTGGTGCCAGTATTCAGTGCCCAAGTTTGGTTGGGTGGTGGTCCAATTGTGTTCGGAGCCTGCCTGAAAGTTGGAAGTTTTTTTGTTATACCAAGGCTCGCACGGATCATCTAAACACTGATTGTTTTTAAAATTTTTAAACGTTGAGTATACTGTTTACACCTGGATGTCTAACCACCCCACATCTGTACAGGGGTAGGTATTCGATCATAGAAACCTAGCACCCTGCAAATGGGCGGGCTGCAGTTGGAAGAGATTTGGAGTGCATTGACAAATTGCCCACAGGTGATTCGATTGGAGCGTTTGAAATAATTAGCCTTGCCCCCCACCCAGTGAGTTCCCAAGTAATCATCATGACGATTTGTGTAGGGCCATTGTTGGTCACCTTCATTGTCACAATGCATGGACAATCCAAGGCTGGCCCATAGGTGCCATAGGCGTGTGCTATTTCTGATGTGGTTCCATCTCAAACGACAGAATGAATCCGCATGCCGGCACCATGTTGCGGGTGGGTGGGTGGGGTGGCTAGTTTTGTGCAATCTCGTGCTATCACGGAGTCACGGACCTTTGTCTTGAAGCATTGGCTCAATCCGATGGCCCCGCGAGCGGTCAGCCCCCGATGCCGGCTCCCCTGCTGCTGGGCCAATAAGACCTGTCGACATGGAAGCCGTGGAAGCCGGTGCTCGAAAGCCCGAACATCCACGCACAGGTGTCACAGGTGTATTGTCCCGAGCAGGAACTAGAGGATCAAGTGGTTTGGGGCCGTTTGGGAGGTGGGTCAGTCGGGTGTGCCGGGCTGCGACCTCGCGGCCAGGTTCCGATGGTCGGTGAAGAGTCCTTTTGTGATCTGGTCTTTTTCTTCACGTCCGGATGGTGGTCTGGTCTGGTGTTCTTCTTCACAGTTGTATAGTAATCACGAAAGCTAGCCTTAGCTAGCTGGAGTTGCTCTTGCTTTAGCAAGTTAAGTGACGGGGTGGACGCACCTCAGAAACCTCAAATAATTGATTAAATCAATCTTATGGACCCCCCCCCCTGAAAAGTAGAGCCTACCTGTACAGGGTTCCACTCCA